TACCCTTGGAATTTTATTTCACACGGGCCCAAGGCTTACATCAACATAGCGAAGGATGACTTCTTTCTATTGACACGAAGCGGCACATGGGCCGAGGTCCCACTAGCAAAGAGGATTGGATTGAACACCTGAATCTGTACTTGTTTGTGGAAAGGTGCAGAAAGTCGATTTTGAACTCCTTTTCTGCATCTCCGCTTAAAACACATCCAGATTCAGGATGTTTAGCCAATCCTCTTCGCTAGTGGGACATGGACCCTGCTGGAAACCGGGTCCAGCCTCCCTTGAAAAAAATGAGAAAAAAAAAAAAAAAGAACCAATATATATATATATATATGTTAGGGTTCAGCCTCCTGATGAGTCGGTGAAGCTCCGACGAAACCGTTTGTCACAGCCCCTCGTTTGTTGTCCTCTTCTCGGAGCCTCACCGACTCATCAGGAGGCTGAACCTATATATATATATATATATATATATCGTCACAAATAGAACTGCCCGGTAAACCGTAGGCAGAGAGAGAGAAGAGGACAACAAACGAGGGGCTGTGACAAACTGTTTCTTCGGAGTTTTACCGAATCATATATATATATATATATATATAAAGAAGAAACGGTTGGTCACAGCCCTGAGGGCCTCTTTAGACACTCCTCATCCTTGGGGACATCCCCCGAGGACGTCCCTGGAGGAAGTTTCCTTGTGGCGTGGCCGTTTCATACCGCTGTCCATGGGAAAAATACAAGCAGGGGGCCTCCATGTCCGAAATTCGAATTTCGACTGACGGCAGCGACAAGGACAACAATGTTCGGCTGGCGGCGCGAAGACGGTGTAGTGCTGAGCCGGGCTCAGCGGGACTGTCCCTTCCGCCCACCTACCACTGTCGTTGCTGGAGTTTCTCGTCGTTGACCTTCTTCCACGTGGAGTGCGCCATCGTACACATTTCCGCCGGGAGGACTGCATCCAAAGAAAGGCGGCAGCTTCGTTGGACGTCTTCTGCTTGTGATCTGCCGCGTGGAAGGACAACACATACGGCAGTGGACGGATGGATCTGTGTGGAGGTCGCGGCTATGGACGTCAGCGGAGAGGGTGGACATGCGGTGTTGACATCTCTTGAGGGGGCGGCCGTGGCGGCGGCCGTGTCCACCGTTGTTCTTCGATGTCAGCAGGAGAGGGCGCTGGGACGAATGGAGGCGCAGTTGCGAGCGCGTAGACACAGGGCATTGACGCGAGGTCGGCATGAACTCCCTGACGTAGTGGCGACGTCGGAGGCTGTCATTCACCTGTGCCTCACGTTGGGTTGCGGAGTGCTTCCGCGAGCGACGCTGAGGTGGTGGATGAAGCGAAGGACTGGAGGCACGTGGCAAGACCTCAGGCAATGCGACGACGCGACAGACGACTACTTCCGGGAGAAGCTACGCATGTCGCCGCGAGTGTTCCGGGAAATCGCGGAGGCATGTGCGCCTCATCTTCAGCGGCGGGTGACGTTCTACAGGGAACCTTTGCAGCCAGACCAGATTGTGGCGTATGCACTACACAGGTGGGCGTCGGGGGAGACCTACGAGAGCAGCACGTGTAACTTCAGAATTAGTAGAGCTTCTCGCCTGGTGGCTGTACGTGACGTGACTGCCGCGCTGCTTTGGGTGTACGGAGATAAGTTTGCCTGGCCGACTGGAGTTCGCAAACGTGTTGTTCTGCAGGCGTTCGCTTACAAAGGGTTCCCCAATTGCCACGGTTGCATTGACTGCACTCAAATCTACGTCGACAAGCCAGTGAACACCCCGAGCAAGAATTACTATGACAGGAAGCGGCGTTTCTCCATCGTCGCGCAGGTCGTCATCGACCTGGACTTGCACGTACTCAATGTGCACATGGGATCCCCGGGTAACTGCCACGACATCAGGGTGCTCCAGTTATCCAACCTGTGGAGGCACGCGAAGTCGGGGTCATTGTTTCGTGGTCCCCCTGTGACACTCCCCTTCGGGGTGCAGACGAACGACTATGTTTTGGCGAACAATGGGTATCCCCCTTCGGAATGGATGGTCGTCCCCTACGGAGGCTTCAATCAGCATGTCGACAAGGAGCGCTTTGACAACAAACAGAAGGTGGCGAGGGGAGCGGTGGAGAGGGGTTTTGGCAGGCTGAAAGGCATGTGGAGGCTTTTTCTGCGGACGCACAAAACCAACTTGGGCACGCTCCCACAACAGTTCACTGTCGGCTGCATACTGCACAACATTCTGATCGACGCTGGAATTCCATTCGACTAAAATCTGCTATGGGAGGTGGACGCTGACGATGTGCGACGACGTGTGGACCTCGGGATTCATGAGACCTTTCAACCAGTCTCTATGATTACTTCGACCAACGAAGCGCTGGCCCTGCGGGATACTCTTGCAGAGCACATGAAACACGACTGAGTCGTGTTGGCATGCTGGACGGCGGCGCTAGTACAGTCATTGCAGTGTTGGCAGGAAGGCAGGTCCCTGCTTTCATCCCGCCGAGTACTTAGGGTTTGTGCGCTTGTTGGGGATGGGAGTTGTGTAGGATGTTTTGTGGTCTTGATCATAGCAGTGCGTGGTTGTGCACACCAGTTGTCTGGCCAGCCCGCCATCGGGCGGGCTACGGTGTGTTGGGAAACACGTTGCACTGCGCGGCCTCCGTCAGCGCTATTTCTGTTGACACGTGGCCACCGTGGCGAACGGGCAGTGGGGTGGACGATGCGGGAGGGGCAATGTCGCCCCCCCTAGCATTCAATTACATTGTTGTTTTGAACAAAGGGTAGTTAATTGTCTTTTGTCCTTGTTTTTTTCGAATCGTAAAATCAGGGGAGCAGTGGAGATGGGTGTTTTGTTGTTCTTCTGTCGAATGTTCTACCCGCGTGAGACTAAGTAAGGGAGAACAGAAAATGTGGCATTTCATATTTGAAACAGCTAATCACTTCAAGCTTGTCTGCTCGTCACCATTCGGTAATGTCTTTCTTCGATTGTTAAAAAAACAAAAAAGGTGTGCATGCTAAGATGGAAAATTGGCAATCATCATTCTGTCATGGCATTGAACAGAAAAGAAAAAATAAAAAACTTAAACAAATAGCGGATGCATGTTCAAAAAAGGGTGCGCATGCAAAGGCCACAATCATCATTCCCTCATGGCATGCAACATTTAAAAAAAATCAAAACACAAATAATAAACAAATATCGGATGCCTATATGACCGCTTGAACGCACTGAACGCACGTTCAAACGGCCGGGGGCCGCGTTCAAACGCGCTATGCGCCACATGGCGCGAATTTGATGAACGCCACCCACCCATCAGCATGATAGCATGGCGGACTAAGGGTCGGGGATTTGGTTCATAAAAAAAAAAAGAAAAAAAAAAAAGTGTGGCGGTGTATATTTCCATGTTCTAGCGGTAGATTCATTCGATTTCGCTCATCCTATCGATGGAAGTACCATGAGGTTGTGAGGTCGGCCATGTGGTTGGAGACTTGCCTGCTCTCCTCTCTCTCTCTCTCTCTCTCTCTCTCTCTCTCTCTCTCTCTCTCACACACACACACACACACACACACACACACACACAAACATACACACACAGAAACACACACACCTGACAGTGTATACTTCCATGGCTAGCGGAAGATTCATTCGATTTTGCTCATCCAACCGATGGAAGTAGCGTGAGGCCAGCCGCGCCGTTGGAGACTTAGCTGCTCTCTCTCTCTCTCTCTCTCTCTCTCTCTCTCTCTCTCTCTCTCTCTCTCTCTCTCTCTCTCTCGCACACACACACACACACACACACACGACAGTGTATATTTCCACGTCTAGCAGAAGACTCATTCAATTTTGCTCATCTACCATTTGTCTGTTGAGTGTTGCACTGTAACGAAAATGCTGGAGGGCTGTTCGAGCGGCCCTCGATCATTCTTTTTTTTTTTTTTTTTTTTTTTTTTTTTTTTTTTTTTTTTTTTTTTTTTTTTTCCTCGGCGCGCACTCCAGCTAGGTTTGAGCCGCTACCCCGATGCAACGCCCCCTACAGGCCTCCCCTTCACGGTTGACGCTTTGCGCGTACGCGTTCAGAGCGTTTACCCGTGTTCATTGAACGCGCGTTCAACGCTTTCAACAACTGAACGTGGAACACGCGGTCAATGAAAGTGCGGCAACAAAGGCGGATGCATGTTAAAAAGGGTTTGCATGCAAAGCTAGCAATTGTCATTCAAGCATAGCATTGAACAAAATACCAAAAAAAAAAAACAAAAAAAAAACTGGACGCATGTTAAAAAAAGAGTGCACTCTTCGCGCAGATTGGTTTCTTATGCACTGGTTGCGAGGATAACAACACAAAAGACGACACCAGCCGTCCATCCGCTTCCCCTCTCTCTCTCTCTCTCTCTCTCTCTCTCTCTCTCTCTCTCTCTCTCTCTCTCTCTCTCTCTCTCTCTCTCTAACAATGTTTGTGCGCGCAGCCACACATGTTGGCACGACAGCGTATCTGCGTCGATTCCCCCCCCCCCCCCCCCCCCCCCGTCACCCTCGTCGCCGCCCTGCGCGTCATCCTTTCCNCCCTGCGCGTCATCCTTTCCATCATCGGCCTTGTCATCCTCTGAGGGGCCCGCGCCCAACCAATCCAGCCTCTTCGCGTCATCTGGCCCTGTTATGCTGGCTTCAAATCCGAACACGATGCCGCAAGGGGCCCAATCTGGGATGTACTTCGGGTACTCTCCCAAGGTCGTGTTAGCCTTCCAAAACCTCTCCGTCACAACGTTTGTAGCGACGAGTGTAGGCTTCGCCATGAGCTTGGCGAAGGACCGATGCATGGACATGATGAGTGTAGGCTTCCCCACGAGCTTGGCGAAGTAGAAAGCTTCGTAGTGGCTGCGCAGATCATCTCCTGCCATGCGCATCAACCACATGCTCGCGGCCAGCAAAAGCCTGAAACAGTCAGCAATTTGCAAAAGGCGGTCGTGTGTGATGAACCCGCCGTCGATGTTACCGCCCGTTTGAACCGCGGCGCGGAATGCATGCGCGATGCATATAACAGTGGACTTCTGGTAGGCTGCCATGGCGTTGTCTTCGGGCCTGTCATCGATGTTAGCGCCCGCAAACCACAGTGGCAAGTCCATGCACAGGTCAATTGTTTGCGCACAGACAGCTCCACTGACGACTTTGCTCTACTCCTCACCTTACCACATAGCACACGCAATGTCCGTCGCGACGGACTCCAGTGCGTACAAGAAAGCCAGATTGCAACCTCTGGGGTGGCTCCCAGACTTGAACACCCACCCGTGCAAGACGCGCAAGACAATATTCTCCACTACCGCCGCACTGGAGATCGCTTGCTACAGTTGTGCAGGGTCGGTGATCCTAATTACCTTCGTCGTGGATGATTTCGGCATCACAACGCAATGGGGAAGGCAGGCACTGTGAGACCGCTCGCGAGGGCAACAAAATACTCCCTCGTTGACGATGTTGTACAGCCTCCGCCCCTCCCCGTCGTCCAGAATGCTTTGTCACCAACCCAGAGTCTTGCATGGTTGGTGAGATCTTTCACAGCGACTCCCCTTCGTAGCCGGCTCAATTCCGGGTTGTCATCCTCCCGATGGCCACGCGCCACCTACCGGTCGTATTGTGTGTCATCTCTACCCCGTCCAACGGGGGCCACGATGCCTGAAGTGCCCGCAGCCGCAGCACCGACTGCCTCGCCCCCGACTGCGCGCGAGTCTACCTGGGCTCCCCCCCTTATAACGCGTTCGACGGACCCCCCCCCCTTCAACATGGTTCTGCTGACGAGGCAGCCTTTCGTCAACCGCGCCACGTGCCCTCGCTGACGTCGTTGTGGTGGCTTGGGTAAGAGCACACGGGGGACATTGTTCCAACTGCTCGTCATCATCGCCGCCGACATCGACCAGAACCTCCTTGTTCCTGCCCAAGGTTTGCTCAAGCACCCACTGGCGACCACTCTTGCGCATGGCGGACATGGTCGCCTCCACCGATTCTTCCTCCATCGTGAAGACGTCGTCGTCGTCGCCTTCCGTGGTTCTCGCCCAACCGTGTGCTCCACGAGGAGGTACGCTTCCTGAACGACTGTCTGAACGACCCCTCTTCGCCTTGGGGACATGCCGCTGACCTCTGTCCAGCCCTTCGCTGTCGACGCATGTGCTACCCCGCTTCCTACCACGTGCGGCAGCTCACATTGACATGGTTTGTGTTGGCGAGAGAGCTCCACGACAAAACAACGACGGTGCCTATCCTCCACGTGGCGAGAAATCTCCGCGGCTATTAGGCAACAAGAGTGGCGATTTTGAACCTCGACGATACGGCGACGAAGAACTGTTGTGGAGTCCGCCAAGGTCTGAATCTTACCTTGTACTCATTTCAGCGCCACGAATCCGTCCCTCTCCCTGATCATTGATCAGCCAATTGCGAAGTTGAATTGTTGGAGCCAGATATGAAAGCCTCGTAGCTCCTTCCGGTCAGATACGACCGTGCTTACCACCCGCCAGAGCTTCATCCCACTTCGACTCAGCTCTTCTAACCCATTCCTCTTTTTCTTGGAATTTCATTTCAGCGCCACATTCTGCAAACAGAATCATTACACCATGAGTTTTGAGATAATCAAGGTGCAAATTCTCAAACCTCGTATCTAATCGTACCTCCAACCTCTTTCCCTCTTCATTAATGGTAGATTTCATGTACTTTTTGACAAGTTCTGGATTCTCCTCCCCAGTCAAAAGACAATTCGCAATCATATCCTTGATTTCTCGCTCTTCTGCCAGAGATAGAGAAGGTTGGCAGTCATCAGCCATGATTAATGCCTGTTCACACGTGGCAGATGTAACCTGTTCACGCGGGGCAGAGCCAATTTTATGTGATGGCGATGGCGATCAAGGCCTGTTTACATGTGACCGGGCCAGTTTGATGTGATAACGATGGGCCGATGGCAGTCAAACTTCCTTCAGGTCGATGATACTCTATTTTTCTAACGTGATGGTGGTTTATTTTTCTTCCACGTGTCAACACTATATATTCCACATGCGATACAAGGAGGAAAGCATCCATATTCAGAGGAATGAAAGCGGATTCTGAAGCGAAAAAGGAAAAAAGGAAAAATACAACCCCAATCTCGTTGTTTGTATCCCTCGCTGTGAGACCGGTTGCCTGTCCTTTACCTACTCGAGTGGCCACGTCAATATCTTTGACAGCCGTGTTGGCAGCCTTTCACAGTCAAAAAGTCATTGACCAGGTGTAAGATACACAAATTGCATGTATCAGAATTTATCAGTAATGAAATACGGTTAGTGTCCTACTAGAGGAGGTCAGGAAAAAATACAGCCCTAATGTCGTTGTTTGTATAGATCACTGTGAGATCTGTTGCCTGAACTCTGCCTACTCCAGTAGCCACATCAGCATCTTTAACAGCCGTGTTGGCAGCCTTTCTCAGTCATGTACCAGAATTACCAGTAATGAATACGATTAGTTTCGTAGTGAAAGAAGTCAGTGAAGGAGAAAGTCGTCGCGATGTCAGGGATGATGGGATGAATGGTCAGGGGAGGGGAATGGAATGCCATAACGCAAACCTTTGTACAAGGTCGTTGACCACTTCTGAACCTCGGGCAGAATAACAAGAATCGCCCACGTGTCAATTACTGCTGACAAATCCGAAGCACTTCTCTCTCCTATTTCAGCAGATTTAAAAAAAGTGACGTGTTCCAAGACCAATGTACAAGGTCGTTGACCATTCGAAGACCAATGTACAAGGTCGTTGACCACTCTTGAAACCCGGCCCGAATAGCATGAATCGCCCGCATACCAATCGCTGTTGACAACACCGAAAAAAGTCTCCCTTCTACGGCAACAGAAGTCAAAAGAGTGACGAGTGAGGTGTCCGAAGACCAAACGCGGATAGCTCGCTGACCTTAATTGCAAGATAGTGTGTTGTGAGCACGTCGCACTCACTCCCAAAGCACAGTGAGAAGGGCGTTAGACAGACTCCACAGCCAAGGAGTAAGGCTATGGCCGCCGCGAGTGGATCAGAAAACCTGGGCATGGTGACCTCGGGTACAGTGCTACTCCGGGGGACTTCAAGCCGCAGCGTTCCGCTACCACACGACGTGCTTCATTCTCTGTATCGTTCCAATTTTAACGGATGTCCCCAAGGACCTATCAGCGTTTCTAACGATGGGCTAGCTGCACTACTCTCGAAATGCGCAAAACGAGAGTGAATCTTCGGCTATATTATGGAAAGATACACCCCCATGATTTTTGTGTTTTGTGCATGTCGAGAGTAGTGCCGCGATGCCCGATGTCGCCACATATTTCCCAGCACGTGCTGCTCCCCACAAATAGATGGGAGCTAAAAAAAAAAAAAAAAAAACAAAGGTTGGGGATTAACTTCGGCAACAGTTTGCAAATGCACTTCGGCCAATCCCGCGAACACAACACCCCCCCCCTCCTCTTCCGGTGTCACCCCAACGGTCCCGAAACCTAGGCTATATACATTCACCATAATTTACCGGCCCTTTTGCCTCAAGTGCATTTTCAAGCTCAAAAGCCCTCACTGCGCCATGGTTTCCTCAAAAACAAAACAAAAAACAAATCGAGTGTGACCCCACCGGTCCCGAAACCTAGGCTATATACATTCACCGTATGCAGTCTCTTCAAACGAATCGAGTCCGAACGGTCAGTAACAGATAGACAGTCTTCCCGAGTCCACGCAGCAACAGCCAAGCGCGAAGCGCTCATAGCGGATCACACACAGAGGAAGAAGCGAAGGTGGGGAGACGAGAGAGGGGGAGGAAGGAGAAGACAGATGCATACTAGAGAGGAAACACGTGGTTCTCCGGAGAAGACAGATGGATAAAATAGGTACGAATCGAGTCCGAAACGTCGTCATGATGCCATCCTACGTTTTTAGTGTTAGTCGAAGGAGACGACACTCACTGCTCAGAGCGGTCCGATTCAACGACTCTGGGAGATGTATTCTTGTTGACAGCTTTGTATTGCGCTAGCGATTCTGGGAACTTCGACTCACCCTTCTTCTTCTTCTTCTTCTTCTTCTTCTTCTCCTCCTCCTCCTCCTCCTCCTCCTCCTTCTTCTTCTTCTTCTTCTTCTTCTTCTTCTTCTTCTTCTTCTTCTTCTTCTTGCTTCTTCGTCTTCTTGCTTCTTCTTCTTCTTCTTCTTCTTCTTCTTCTTCTTCTTCTTGCTTCTTCTTCGTCTTTGTCTTCAATTATGCCGTGTTTCTTCGCCTCTCTCGATTACATCTGTCGAAGCAGAGCTTGTATGTTTCTTGTTGTGTCGATTAGGCATGTGCATGCGGATTCGGTTGGCGACGCTGGTCCTGGCACGTCAACCCGCTACCCACGTGTCACCCCCTGGGCCCCTGCGCTCTCACATACCACGTGTTCCCTCCCTATCAGCTCTTCTGAACCATGCCGCCACCTCGATTTCCAATTCTTGTCCATCCACGTGTCACCCCCTACTCACGTGTCACCCCCTACGCACGTGTCACCCCCTAAAAAGCCCTCACCGGCTTACGTCTAACAACGCCATTGCCAAATGGATGACACGGGAGACTCTACTGGCCCGCAACGGTGCTGAAAGCTGTCAAGAAAAATACACGAGAGAGAGAGAGAGAGAGAGAGAGAGAGAGATCAATGGGATCGGATGCTGCAGGATCCGATTCCAGAAGGCAGTCTATAGATAGCGCGCACAGGTAGTGTCCGAAGGGTAAGTGTCAAAAACAGCGCTGTCTGTTGACTACCAATCAGTTTCACAGCCAAAATAGTGCGGGGTCCAAGTGTCGTTGCAAAATTACATATTTCGTTGCATCTTTACAGAAATTACAGGTCTCATTTTCAGGGTGTGTTATGTTCGGGGGAAGACGGTAGTTTCACAGCCAAAAGACAAATTGGGGGTGGGGTCCGAATTCAGTTGCCAAAATACATCTTTCGGACCCTGTCAACATTTGCCCCCCGGGGAGAAAGAAAAAAAAAGAAATAAAAAGAAAAAAAAAGAAAAAAAAAAAGAAAAAGAAACTATGTTACCAGTTGTCCGATGGCAGGACGTCCTGGACGGACAGTCTGGGGGATCCCGGACGTCCGGGCCAGGACAACTCCATTTTTGGCAATTACAAGCAAAAAATAAAAATAAAAAAAATTGGGACTGACTTTAATTTTATTTTTTATTTTAAATTTGACACCGAATTTCGATATCATCCCAAGGCAAAAGTTGTTCAGTTTAGTTTTCTTTATAACATAGTTTGTTTTCAGAATTTTTTGAGGAACTTCGTTTTTTTTTTTTTTTTTTTTTTTTTTTTGGCGCTCGGGGCTCGGACAGACTGCCCGGGGAGGATGTCCGACCGGACAACCCCGGCCGGTCAGGGGGGAGAAAAGGGGAAAAAAAAAAGAAAAAAAAGAAAAAAAGGAAAAAAAAGAGAAAAAAAAAAAAGAAAAAAAAAAGGAAAACGCATGTGAACGGTGAAGCCATTTGTCCGTCGCAGGTGTTTTTGTTTCCTGTGCCCTCTACACTCCTGTGCTCTTCCTAGCCATTTGGATACCTCGGACATTTTATATTAAATTTTTGGATAACTCGGACATTTTATATTTTTGGTTAAAACGGACGTTCAATATTTTTTGAAAGAAGACATTCATAGGCCCTATGAATGTCACATTTTGGAAACGCCGGAGGCCCCTTGGATGTCTCTGTGGACGTAAGCCAAGTCCAGATCTACCCTCAGGAGCTCAAAGGCCGACATTTTTAGGCCCAAATAACTAGGTTCCAAATTTTTTATTTTTTTTTGTAGGTTCCAATTTCGTTCACAATATGTAAAATACTAAAATGTTCGTTTTAAAGAAAAATGGCAAAAAATGGCGATTGTCGATGCTTTCTACACTTGTTTTCTTCTTTAGTCCTTGCTCATCGTCTATTCTTCGGGGCATTTATAGTCCTTGCACGTCCTCTATTCCTCGGCACATTCATATAGTCCTTGCACGTCTTCTATTACAGTCTTCCCCCGAATACAACGTACGGTCATTACAGTTGAATTCGGGGTATTTTTCAGTCTAAATACGGCTATAATGACCGTACAACGTACGGTCATTACAGTCGAATTTGGGGTATCTTTCAGTCTTAATACGGCTATAATGACCGTACGTTGTTTTCGGGGGAAGACGGTAGTCGGGAGTCCTTGCGCCGCCGCAAGGTAAACTCAACAGCAATAAGACATCCATCGCCATCTCCCCCCGAATAGAACGCAGACTCATTATGGATGAGTGGATTTGACGGAGACCTGTCCCATCGAGAGGTACAATGACCGTTCTGTATCTAGACACGCAATGAACCTGATGAAGCCCATCGATCAATCAATCGTGAGCGCAAACTGAACGGTTCGAGTGGCGTTAATCTTGCTCGTCAATCAAATCATGTCAGTGAGTAAGTGACCAATAAATGATTGGGAAAAGTTATAGATCCCCCCCTACCCCTCCCCCCCTTCCCCCTCCCCCCCCTCCTCGGTGAATTGTTCAAGACTTAGTACAGACCGGAGGTCGAACTCCGGATGAGCAGCTCGGGTACCCGAAGGGCCGAAGGGCAATTGCAAACTGTATCTTGGCCCGTAGTGCAATTATAACTCCCTTTGGGGACTCTACTGGAATTACCCGTAGGTAGGGGAAACTAGCGGCAGTAACAATTTTTTATTTTTATTTTTGTTTTGTTTTTTGGAAAAAGGCTCAGTAATAAGTTAACAACTCTGAATTCGATGATGATATCTCAAGGCCGTCCCCTTAAAAAAAAAGAAAGAGAAAAGAAAAAAAGAAAAAAAGAAAGGG